GAAATGTCAATCAAATGTCTCCTTCTTGAACTTTTTTTTTAATTGTCCCTAAAATATGATGCTCTCTTCTGATATGTCTGCTCAGCAGGTCTGAGTCTCAAGTGGTCTGTAGGATTCAACTGTGAGAATTCTCAAATACTTCTTATAATCCATCTTGGTCTCCTGGCTGCCATGCCTTTTTTAAAATTTGATTTGGACAATTTATCAGTTAGCTACAGCTAAATAATTCGATGGTAATAACCTCCAATTCTAAGTGAATTACAACAAGATTCATTTCTCTTCATCATATTTGTCAATCATAGCCAATAGCTTTGCATCGTCACTCTGGGAGGCCCAGGCAAAGAAGTACGATTCTCCCTGGATATGCCAGTCTTGCCTTGAAAGGAAAAGAGAGATGGCAGAACTGAATGGTGACACAGCAGTGGCACGTTACTTCCTCTCATGTTTCATCAAGGTCAAGTCTGCAATCCAAAAAGGTGGGGAGATAAAATTCTCCATGGTAGGGCCAAAAGAAAAAAAAGGGAACAATAATACAGTCTACTACAGAGGTCATTTTTTCTCAAGCAAGTATCATTTGACTATCTTTGGGACTATTTACAAAATCAGCTGGGCGGGGGCTTGCTACTAAACAAATAATACTATCTCATTTGTGGGATGAGGTTTAGTAGCTTTACGTTTTCTGTGGATCTGCACACAAAGAAATTAAAATCACTTTGAAAATTAATGAGTTCTTTGGAGGTCCCATGGATGTAAGTGTGGTCGAAGTATAAACAATATCAACTTACAAACTAAACTAATTAAAACTTTTATCTATTACTCTGAATGAAAGAAATGAACTATTTCTCCCTTTACTCCCCTCTACTTAAGGAACTCCCCCCCCCAAAATGGCAGACCATTCAGATTTATATTTGATGAAATTTCATTGTTTTTGTGATATTACAATTGAGAGGTATAATTTACTTTACAGAGATGATGTATTTGAGAAGGCTAATGAAAATTTTTAAATGATAAATTTTAATTGCTATATGCAAAGATATTGGTATATGACATGCACATCTACTCTTTCCCTTCCTAGTGATTCTTCCTTAATTTTAAAAAGGTTATTTGTAAATAGTTGGTACCTTGGGCACTGAGTCCAGGTTTCCCTGCTCTATCTTTGCAGCATTCCCTTTCTATTTTAAGGTATTTTGAAATGTATCATTTATTTTCTAAAAGGGAAGTAAACTCATTTTGGGGTATTAGCGCTCTTTAAATAGTATTTTCTGAGATGGCTTAAAACAATTTCCATTTTGGCTTTTCAATAATGGACATAAGAACTGATTACTCAGCGAAACAGAATTTATTCACTCATCTGATGAAAATTGCTAACATAGAGTGTTATTGGTATAGTTCTGGGTGCTTACGTGTGTTGTTCATTTAAGCTTACAATAACCCCATGAGCACTACTATCACCCTTGTTTTATACATGAGGGTTTTATAATGGTTACTACAGATCTAAGTTCAGCCTTGGAAGAAGTCATGTTCAGTAAGGTTTATCAGTAAGGCCTAACTAGGCTGGATAAAGAAGGAAACCAACAGAAGGGAAGTAGTAGCAGAGGCTTATTTAAAGAGGAAACCTGCACCCTCTGTGCATCAAATAGAAGAGTTTCAAACTAATTAAAAGAAAAAATCTTAGACGATTCTTACAAGCTGTTAAGAGAGAATTACTTTCTACTTACCTTTAGGACAGCAAGTACTAATCTCATTTTTGGTGAAGGTTAAGATCTGCAATATATGGAGATGTTATGATCTTGAAACAGCTTTTACCCGACCATCAACAGATCCCATATGCCCAGGGACAAGCTCAGCAACACTCTTCAAATTAGAGCAGAAACAAAGTACACAAAGTCCAGTTTCTTCTTTTGATGGTTGATTACAAGGGTTGAGGTGCCACATCCCACCACAGAGTGGCTACTCTTAGCAAAGAGGAAGTCTTAAGGGTAGCTCTGGAAAGCCAGTCAAGCACTAACCTAGAGGGCCTTTTTCTACTGTAGATATTTTGGTGGATTATAGTATATATATA